TAGTAGAGACGGGGTCTCACTCTTGCTCAGGCTGGTTTTGAACTCCTGAGCTCAAACAATCCGCCTGCCTCGGCCTCCCGGAGAACTAGGATTACAGGCGTGAGCCACCGCGCCCGGCCGGGAAAGGCTTTCTTTGTCTTCTTTTGTAAAGAGACAGGTTCTTGGCCAGGTGCAGTGCAGTGGCTCACGCCTGTGATCCTAGCACTCTGGGAGGCCGAGGCAGGAGGATTGCTTGAGGTCAGGAGTTGGAGACCAGCCTGAGCAAAAGTGAGACCCCATCTCTACTAAAAATAGAAAAAATCAGCCGGGAGTGGAGGCACGTGCCTGTAGTCCCAGCTACTTGTGAGGCTGAGGCAGGAGGATCGCTTCAGCGCAGGAATTTGAGGTTGCCATGAGCTGGGCTGATGCCACGGCACTCTACCCAGGTGACAAGTGAGACTCTGTCTCAAAAAAAAAAAAAAAAGAGACAGGGTCTCACTATGTTACCCATGCTGGCCTTGAAATCCTGGGCTCAGGTGATCCCCTGCCTGAGCCCCCGAGTAGCTGGGACTACAATACGAGCCACTGTGCTCGCTTAGGGATTTCTTCTTTATCTACTTTGGGAGGAACCCCTAACTGCCCACCACTGCTTGTTTAGGACAGCTGAGAACTGTTAATTTCTTCCAACTTCCACTTCACAGACAGTATCAAGGCCTCAGGTCACATGAAGCCAATGGCGGTGCTCAGACCAATACCCAGGGCTCCTGAATCCTAGGCCAGGGCCCCCTCACATCATCCCTCATGGCTACTATATGGGTACATGTCTAGATCTGTGGCTGCGTAGGGGGGTTATTACATCCCAAACACCTGCTTTGCATCTAGCTCTGGGCTAAGAGCATGCTTCCATTTCATCTGGATTCCATTTCTTCTCCTCACTGGAGGAGCCTGGGGGGCCTGGGATAAGCGGAGGTTCTCCAGCAGTGGAAGGTGAACCCCAGGGAAGAGCCACCTTTAGCCAATATGTTGCCTTTCCCCCCTGCTTCAGTCAGATTGAATTAGGTTTCTGGCATTTCATAAACCACTGAATCTTAATACAGGGGGCTACGCCAGATGCTATCTGCCGGTGGCCTTACCTCACAAGTGAGACCAGGCCTTACCTTCAGGCTAACAACAGAAACAGCAGCAGTAGCTATCATTTATATAGCATTTATCATGTGTCAAGCACAATAATTATTTCATGTCTATCTATTGGTTTTTTTTTTTTGAGACAGAGTCTTGATTTGTTGCCCGGGCTAGAGTGAGTGCCGTGGCATCAGCCTAGCTCACAGCAACCTCAAACTCCTGGGCTCAAGC